CGACTGCCAGTCCATCTCACTTATGGTCTCTGGCTTCACCAATTACAATTTTCTCTACCTGTAATCTGGTGAGATGTAGATAGGAATCACCATGGACAATGTTCTGTGTAATCCATTTTTATTGGCTAATGTTTGGGCGTAGGTGTTTAGAGTTGTCTTCCTAAAAATGTGAACCCCAAAAGTTCTTCTGTCATCTGGGTAATAACTATTGGTATTGGCCATCAGTGGCAGCTGTTTCAACAGTACAACCCAGAACACGTTGAAATACAAACTGAGATGAATGTTTGACTACTTGGATAAGGACTACAAAATTATGGGCAGAGACCATCAGCTTACTCCATGGGAGGATGGACACTCTCCCTTGTGATTAACTGCCTCTGAAAACCCGCTGGGGGAGTCAGCTATGTGTTGATCCCTACTCTACCGTACTGTCTTGAATATATCAGATAATTCTTTGGGACATCACACAGGAATAAGCAGCAGGAATTTTAAACTTTCTTGACAGAGCTTCTCCCAAACTTTCCAGTGCTTTTATCAGAGTAGTAAAGTAGTTGAATGTGTCTCAATGATGGTTTACCTTAGTTAACCTAGGGGAGCTTTGAAAATCTAGACAGCATGTTGGGGAGCTCTGGTGGCCTAGTGGCAAGAAGCTGCACAGCAGCCCCAGAGGTGTTTAGTTCAAATACCCCAGAATCTCTCCTGGAGGAGGAGGGGAAATCTGTAACAGATCTGATTTGATGGTACACAATAATAAATTTTTTAAAAAATTTATTTAATGTGTGTACCATCAAATTGGATCTAACTGGTACAGGAGGTGATTGTTCCTCCTCCTTCAGCAGAGCATCTGGTGGATTTAACGGTGCACCTCTGGGATTGCAGTGCAGTTTCCTGCCACTAGGCCACCAGAGCTCACCAATAAAAAAAAATTTTAAAAAAAAATTTATGGGCAGCTTGCATCGTATCTTTTATTTCTCGGTGGTTATAATATTCAATATATGGAATCCGTTTTCTTGATTCTAATACAGAGATGAAAGTCACACCGAGAAACAAAACCTCTGAGAAAAGGGCATTAAGGAAGGACCTAAGACTTTCAGAGAGGATGTCTTTATATGATAACTAGCTAAGGAAGTTAATAATACCTGTCTCTTCATGTATAGATAGAATAAACCAGTGAGTAAAGTGAGGGGGATTTATTAAACTGAAAAAGGTATTGGCATATAAATCTGTAGGAAAGGACGGAAACTGTAGAAACAACACAAGCCTCAACTTGCTCAAAAGTCTTAAAAAAGAATTTAGGTGGTCGGACAAAAATCCATTCTGCTGTAAGGTTCGGGCAGTACTGGCTGAATAAAAGGAAGCCTACATATTTCATCAGATGCTTTCCTGGATGCACTTAGCAAAGAAATTTGGAGGACAACCACCTGGCCAGCTGACTGGAAGAAAACTCTGTCCCTATTCTAGAAAATGGTGACCTGATACTGGAAATTAGCTAAAAGAAGTCATTAATAAAAGATCCTTCTGAAAGTTACTCAACTAAAGACTGGAACAGCAGCATATCAACAGAACTGTCAGATATGCAGACTTGGTTCTAGAGGCCATACTACTAGGGATATATCATCATTGATATTAAATGGATCTTAGAGAAATACCTGTTTGTTGACTTTAGGCATTTGACTGTGGATTACAACAAACTGGCTAACTTTGAGAAGAATGGGAATCCCAGAGCGCTTGATTGTGCTTGTGTGAAACCTCTGTTTGGTTTAGAACATCAGAACAAAGCAAGGAAACACTACATGGTTCCAAATCAGGAATGTGTACACCGAGGATGCATCCTATTTGCGGAACAGATAATCCAGGAGACTGGACTCTTGAGGAGAAATGGGACATCAAGATTGGAGGAAGACTCATCAACACCTGTATTACACAGATGACACAAATCTTGCTTGCCAAAACTGAGGAGGACCTGAGGCATTTGCTACAGAAGATCAAGGACTGCAGCCTTTCAGTATGGATTGAAGCTCAGCATCAAGAAAACAAAGGTTCTCACTACTGGGCCGATTTGCAACATCATGATAGACATTGGAGAGCTTTAGATTGTTAACAGCTTCAGTTTGCTTGGCTCCACAATGAACACCCTTGGTACCCAGTACCCAGGATATCAAATACTAATTGCATTGGGAAAGTCTGCTATCAGGGACCTCTCCAGAGTACTGAAGAGCAATGAGATCAGTCTAGACACAAGTGTGTACTTGATCCAGGCCATGGTCTTAACAGTTGAATCGGAAAGCTGCACAAAATCTAGGGATGATAGGAGAACTGATTCTTTTGAGCTGTGGTTCTGCAGACTAGAATATATGATGGCCTGCTAGGAGAACAAACAGGTTGATCCTGGAGAGGGTGAAACCAGGCTTTTTGTTGGAAGCAAGGACTCTGAAGCTCTGTCTGATATTTTGGGCTTGTTGCAAGGAGGGACCATCATCCTTAAGGTGGAGGGAGGTGCAGGAGAGGAAGATCCTGGATGGGATGGATTGACTCAGTAACTGGGGTAATGAGAGTGGGTGTGTAGGAGGCATTGAGGTTGGCACAGGATAGAGGAGGGTTCAAAGCTGTTGTACAAGGGTTGCTGTGAGTCGCAAGCAACCTGAAGGCACTTAAAAACGTGTCTAAACACTGTGATGATGGAAATTATTTTAGTACACCAGGTGGCATGTCACTAATCTCATGTATCCTCAGAGTTCTTGAAATTGGATTAATGTTACTGAATGTGATTTGGTATTAAATAGTTCTGTCATTGAATGACTGCAAAAGTGTTTGGCACTGGGTCATAAAAGGTATATGTCAAAAGTTTGTATCCTTTACCTATTCAACCTTTTTGCTGAGAAAATCATGCGAAAAACTGGACTATGAAGAATATGACTTCAAGCTTGGAGAGACTTGTCAACAACTTTGCTAACTGCAGAAAAGACTAGCCTTCAGTATGGTTTATATTGCAACATGAAGAGAAATCCTTAACCACTGGCAATAGGCAACAGTGATTAAATGGAAAAAATGATTGAAGTAAAAATATTTTCATGGATCCATAATAAACAGCAGTCAGGAAATAATGTTGCATTGGGAAAATCTGTCAAGTACCTCTGAAAAGCAACATTAGTTTAAAAACTAAGGTACCCTGATGATCTTTTCAGTGACACTCATGTATGTAAAGAGGACAAGTTAATAAATGGATGGCTTTGAAATTTGTTGATGACTGAGTAGCCCATGAAAGCTGTCCTGGAGGGAGTATAACCACAGTGCTCCTTAGAGGCTTGGTAAAACATCTTACACACACATATGGGCATGTATGTTGCCAGATGAGGCCAATCTTTGGAAAGATTGATTTGAAAGGTTGGAAGTTAGAGTAGGACTCTGAACCAGATGTATTGGCACAGTGATAACTCGAGTATATCAGTGAGAATAGCAAAGGATAAATGGTTCAGATCTGTTGCTTTGTGGTATAGTCAATTCATTGATATTTATTTAATAACTGCTGGACAGCCAGATGCTAATAAGAAAGCAGTTTCTGAAGTACACATTTGATTATTAGCTCAGGAATTTTTGTGAATAAATGTGACTTATTCTGTGTCTTGTATGAGGATACCTGTAACCAAGAAAGTGCACGACTAAGTTAGTGTTGCTCATTCATACAGTACAGACACTACGTCATCAGGTACAAAATGTCAACATTACGGATTTTAGATTTGCAATGAGTAGCCTTTAATTCCAGAAAATGATGAGCTAGTGCAAAAGAGGCTCTCAACAAGGTGGATTGACTCAGGGACTCCAGCAATGGGCTTGAGTGTGTTGGAGATTGTAGGAATAGGACAGAGTTCACATCTGTTCATATGGTCACTATAGTTCATTCTTGACACCTAACAATAGCAACAGGGCTAACACGAGTGGCACCACTTTGGCAGTTCGAATGCACCAGAGTCTCCATGGCAGAATGTATGATTCTGAAAATCAGCTGGTGGGTCATGTATGATTATTGGCAATTGATGGAGATGATGGTTTCTATAACCCAGGCAACAGCTGTTTAAGATCCCTGCTGCTAATGAAACTTCACAAAAGGGGTAAACTTTGTTGTTTTCCTGTACATTCTATTTTGTGGATTTGTTCATAGACCAATCTTCCATTAAAATACCGTGTATTCTGCTTCAGAAATCCCGAAAGAGTGCAACTACTACTTACCCCCTTTTTACCTCTGGGCACCTTGAAACCTCTAATTTTTCACAGCTCAGACAATGTGAATACTCCACATACCCTACCAAAAGCACTTTTTTCAGACAGTATTGTTAATATATTTTTTTGCTCTTACTGGACACTGAGGTGGCTCCGTTGGCAAGAGTATTGCAAGAAAAAGTGGGATCACAGAGGAGCTTGTAGTACAGTTGCTATAACCGTAGTGGCCTGATTTGTTCTTGCTAGCCCGCCCTCCTGGACTTTGGCATTCATGCAACTAACACAGCTGATTGTTGTCTTAAAAAGAGAATGCACTTAGTTGAAATAACTATATTTTCACAGGTCTTGAGAAACATTGTCCTAATTTTAAGGTATCTGGCACTTCCCTACTGTTTTTCATTTTGCAATTTTCAATGCTGTAATTTTCTGAGCTTAAAAGAATGGCTCAGGCAAAATTCAAGTGCAATAATCACAACTGTACTTCCTAAGAAGATGCTAGTCAAGACTAACCTGTGGTTAACAGATATCAAGCTTATATATAAAGACATGTTTATTTAGGAATAAAAGATACAGCTACGGCTGAGTCCACATGCTTCCTGAATACTTATCAATGTCTTGTTTACCACAATCAGTCTAAGTTACTGTCACTGGCCTTGCTTCTGGGTTACTGCAGTAAATTTCAGCAGAATTGGTATAATCACTTCCCACTAGACATTTGTCATTTCAAGACAGGCGTTATTAGATGGAATTCTTTAAAAAGTCTTATGTGGCTTTTTCTTTAGGACATTGGTAAAATTAACAGTCTACAAAGCCATGAAAGAAGCATCCTTTCCCTCTCAGGCTTGTAGTCGTCCATAGAATCAAGAAACAGTTCTTTGTATCACTAATTATAGTCATGCTAATTTGTATGACTATTTGATTAGTGTGTTTATAGTGAAATAGGATGACTATCAACTATATTATTAAACAAGAATAACCCCAAACCACTGACAAATCATTCTGACTGACCATACTGATAGATTTGAACCACTTGATTTCGAGTTGGAAACAACTCAGCTGACTCTCTAGCAGGTTCTGAGGTGATGATCATCCACAGAATATTCTCCCACAGAGCAGTTGGTGGGTTGACTTGACAATAGGGCACTAAAGCTTCCACCTTTTAATTAGCAGCCTGATATGTCACCAGGGGTCTTAGATCTGTTACTGGTGCCATCCGGTTGATTTCCTACTCATAGGGTCACTGTACAACAGATGGAGACCTTGTCCAACCCTCTCCCTACCTTGCAGTTTTTGGTCTGTCTAAGCATACTGTCACTTAAGTCACTGTTAATAATACATCCTAAGGATCTTCCTTGACTTTGTTGATCCCTTACTTGCCAAGCATATGATAAATTGAGTCCTCATAGTTCATCCTTAACTAAACGGCAGAGCATTCCAGCTGCACTTCTTCCAAGACAAGATTTAGTATTTTGGCCGCCCATGCTACATTTCATATTCTACAATCCAAAAGGTTGAATTCTTCACTTTTCACTTTTAATTGTTTTTTCATGGGCAAACAAAACTTGACCATTGCGGTGGAACCGGCTCATTGCAGACCTTGTGTTGGTGAATAAGAACTGCCTTTGGGTTTCAGTGTAGCTCCCTGGGACAGCCACCAGAGCTTCTTTTCACATGCATGTAAAACAGGTGAAAACTTGGATCAGGCTACTCTTAAGTAACAGATTTGCCCGATGTCATACATATTTTGCTATCTTTCCTGCTGCTGTTTCTGTGGATCCAAATAAAATCTGACAACTTTTCTTCATTTACTGCAATGTTGTTTATTGGCTCAATTGAAGATTTCTTGAAGTGTAATCTGTTGAAGGCTGTAGTCTGCATCTTCTGTAAGTGCTTTCAGTCCTCTTTCAGCAAACAAAATTGTGTCATCTACGTAAGTAGGTTGGAAGTAAGTTGTCTTCCACATCTATGATGAGTGTTATCGGTCCTACATATTGTGCTAAGCACTGAAAACATTTTTTTATTTAAATTATTTTATTATTTTGTGTTTGTGTACCGTCAGATTGGATCTGACTGGTACAGGAGATTGCCCCTCCTTCTCCAGCAGAGCATCTGGTGGATTTGAACCACGTACCTCTGGGATTGCAGTGCAGCTTCTTGCCACTAGGCCACCAGAGCTCCCTTGAAAACATTTCTAATCACTGAAGATAACACACCTCTTCTTAGCACAGCTTCCTCCTGTATAGTGAGTAAGGTTTGAGTTACCAGCCAGGTACTTCTGCTCATGTATATTTCATAGCTTCCATTTTCACATTCCTTTCTTTGTGTCAGTTTTCATCTCCACAGTCATGGGTATCTTGCCAAAGAAAAGGAGGTCTGTTATGCATAAAGATAGACGTCCCTATCACAGTTAACCTATCTTTGGGACTTTCTAATGTGTCCTGGCTCATGAAGATACGTAAGGGACCATACCTGGTGACAGCACAAGCCAGGTCAAGCACCATAGAAACCAACCTCCTTCCCCTTTCCCATCACTGCCTTCATGTAAACCACTTGTTCTGGTTTTTATTACTGTAGATAGGTTTTCCCTTGTTTTGTACTATAGATAAATGGAACTGGTTGTTGACCTTTGGGGTCCCCAGAAGCAGAGGCTGAACCAAAGAGAGGTGTCATTTGAGAGGTGATCCTAGGAAGCAGGAGTGAGGAAATGGGAAGTGAGATAATGAGGAAGGTAAAAAAGTCAATTGTCAACTGTTAGTGAAGTTGAAACCTCTTGTGGCTTAGATCCTAGGATGCTGCTCAAGTAACCTAAAGGTTGAGTCTCGAGTGATTCAACACCAGCTGCTACACAAGCGAAAGATGTGTAGTCTCTTTTTAGGAATTGCAAACTCAGAAACCCAATGGACGGTCCCTGTGAATCGGAACTGAGCCAACGGCAACAAGTTTTGAGTATTGAATGACTAATGTTTCCAGACTTGTCTGAAGGATGGGATAAAGTGGAAGCTTATTTCACTGGCTCATTAATCGAGATATGGTCTAAGGAGATTAACTTCCCTGAAATTTTGGGCTGTAAGTAAGCTTACTAGGCTCTGGAATAATTGTACGTTTGATTTGGTTTCCATTTGGAATAATACTGCTATGTACAATTTTGTACATGTCTTTTGAAAGCACATACATTCATATTTCAGTTAGATAACGAGTGGGAGAGCTGAGTCATATATTTTTATATTGCCACTTTTCCAGAGTGACTGTATTAATTTCTACTCATTAACCTCACATGAAAAATTCAATTGTTCCACATTCTTGTCAGCACTTCATATGAACGCTGCTTTAAAGAACTGAAATATTAAGCTATCTAACAGATGTGTAATGGATTCAATTTTTGTTTTTTTAAAATGTATAACATACAAACTTATTGGCTTATTTACATACAGAAAAGTGCACAACTTGTTACTTTTCACACATTGAACACATACTGGGAAGACAAAGCTACACACAGAGCAAGAAATCAAGAAATGGAACATCACTAGCACTCCAGAAGCCCTGGGCATATCCTTTTTCAATTGCCATACCAACCCAAGAGTGTGTCATCCTTATACCATAGATTCGATTTACCTATTTTGACATTCAAATAAATGTGATACCTACTGTCTTTTATGTTTGGTCTATTTAATTCAACATTATGCTTGCACAGTTCATCCATGTTACTGCATGTTCATTCATACTTTGTATAGTATTACTTTGTAGAAATATACTACAATTTATGCATTCTGTGAATAGGCACTTGGGGCTGTTTCCAATTTTTACTATTAAGGATAAATAAAGTTGCTATGAACATTCAAAAGCATGTGTTTTGGTGAACAGATGTGTATGTATCTGCTAACTGAACGAACCAGCAGCTCTATGGGAGAAAAGACCTAGCAGTCTGTATTAACACAGATAATAGCTTAGGAAAGTTTATGGGACAGTTCTCCTGGGCCCTTTAGTTCTCCTGAAATCCACTAGATAGCACACACCAACAACAGGACATTACCCCACATCTTTATTGTATTCCTATTTAAAAACAAATGTTTTAATACTCTAAATCCTGTTTCCCTAATGTTAACATCTTACTCATCCACATTTCACTTGCCAGTCCTAAAAAGCAATTGGTGGCACTGCTATTTACTATGTTCTGAGATTAATTCTGATTTCAGCAGTTGTTAGGTGCCGTCGAATCGAGTACAACCTGTAGTGACTCTCTGAACAACAGATCTGAACCCTGTCCTATCCTGTACCATCCTCACACTTCCTGAAATACTAGCGCCCATTATGACAGTCACCATTATCAGTCCACCTTGTTCAGGGTCATCCTCTCCTTCTCTGACCCTCCACCCTTCCAAGCATCGTGTCTTTCTCCAAGGAATAGCCCCTTCTAGCAACATGCCCACAGTATGTGAGGTGAAGCCTCATCATCTTTGCCTCCAAAAAGCACTCCAGCTGCACCCTCTCCAAGATATACTTGGGTTTTTGGCAGTCCATAGGATGTTCAGCGCTCTTCAACTTCATTTCTTCTCCAACATTTTCATTTCAGCAGTTACATACCTCTAACTATATGAGGAGAAAGAGAAGAGTAACCATCTGCATCAGCTCAAAGCTTTTTAATTTATTGAATAGGCTCTGATTCATATGTAATGCTGCTTTGTTCTTACAATTCCCATTTTCTCCTTTTCCAAGCATGATGACCTCTAGGGACAGCTCTCCATGTATGTGACATGCCAAATATGAGATGGAGTCTTATCATCCTTGCCTCTTAAGAGACAGTGTGACTGCACTTCTTCCAAGATGTATTTGTTGTTTTGGCAGACAGTGGGATATTCGGTGCTCTTCACAAACACATTAGAAGGTACTTAATTCTTTTTTGTTCTTCCTTATTCACTGTCCAACTTTCAGATGCCTATCAAGCAATTAAAAATACTATTACTTGATCAAGTGCACACCTTACTCCTTAACATCCTTACTCTTCAGCCCTTGAGGACTTAGTGAGAATGGCAGCATAGGCAGACTGAGGGACTTGCCTCTCTACAGTAGCGGCAATGCAGTTATTCTAACAAAATCCCAGACATGGAAAGTCTAGACACCCAGAAGTCTGGGAGAACCTCAGGTTAAAAAAAAAAAATAATAATGACCAGGTGAAATAATAATAGAGCTGATGAGAAGTTAAAAGAAAGCACCATGGACTAACCTGACAGAACCCCTGTCTGGGGAACATACCAGGACACCGTACAAGAGGCCTGTTTTCCCCATTACTGAAAAATGACTGAGCAGGCTTCATTTAGGCAGGTGAGACAACTGTAGCAACTTGCTCAGAGATGGAGCAGGATAAACAACAAAACATTCCACCCACCCACAGGGACTCCACCAGACACCAGGAGTAACAAAAAGACAGCTTGAATTACCTGCACTTTGGGGAAAGGATAGCACATAGATGGGAAATAGCATATGGGAAAATTCTGTATCAAGAGAAACAGCTTTAACAGAACAAAACCGACCTATGCCCACAGACCTTGGGAACAGCAACTGATACTGACTGGCTTAAAAAACCGCCAGCCCACATTCTCTGCCAGACACAGACTAGACAGCTATGGACTCAACACACACCTGACCCTGGTCATGCGGCTCCAAGCTCACCTTAAAATGTATAGCTTACCTGAAATGTAGAAACCACTACCAAACTTGGTAAAAAAGTGAATACTCAATAGTAGGGAGCTCTGGTGGCCTAGTGCTAAAAAACTACACTACAATCCCGAAGGCATGCGGTTCCAATCCACCAGCTGCTATGCAGAAGAATGGGTAATCTCCTCCCGTGGGCTAACTGTCTC